AAAACACAAACACGCAAGATCAAATTAAATGTCCTACTAGCATATGATGAATATTACACAATAACCATCAATCATCAAGGTAGCTGTTTTAGTACATTCCCATGAATCAAAGCTTCAATTAATGTGCACCACCCTGCCACTGTACTGCCAGATCAGTAAGCTTGGTGTAATGAAGGCTCCAACAGACATCAGTTCCACCTCAGCCAAGAAGTCAAAGAGAGACAGATTCCTCTCTCGCCTCCCACTTTGTTTTTCTCCCCTCAGAAACAGACGATGATAGCCATCTGGTGTGTCTCCACAGTGTTTCTACTGTTCCATTAAAGGGTATTTGTTTAGTCTGTGTTTATCTACTATAGTTGCGTGTTGTGGTTCACAGTCACTGTAAGTCATTTATTATCTGTGTTATTCCATATGGGATCCACCAGGGTTCAATTGTGGGTCCTTTACAGATCTTTCTGGAGATGCTACCTACTATTAGGCGATGAAAAGGCATACTGTTAAGTTTTTCATTATTTGAGCACCCCAGTAGCAACCAAGGGCCTTTGTTGCATGTCACACACCTCTCTCTACCCCACCCTCTTGTCAATCTTTTCACTGTCTACTATCAAATTAAGGTAAGAAAGGCAGAAACATTCTTGTAAAAAAAAAAAAAAAACATTCTGTATGATCTTACTCCTGCTCACGTTACAGAACTATCATCTCCACACTGACCCTTTAGATCATCCATACAAGGTATGTCCATTATTTCACTATGTTTGTGCAGGTTTATTTGAGGTTGACATACACTGAATGTAGCTCTGGATTTCCTTTGTGAAGAAATGATCAAAAACAAATGTTTCATGCTACTGATTCTCCTTGTGCCCCAAGTGTATGGGCTTCTGTACGCGTAAGGTACTTTCTTTCTTTTTTTATGAAGCACTTTTGTACAAAATAAACTTGAACTGCAGTACTAAATCAGAAACAGCACAAAATCCCCTCATGACACATTAAAGCAACAGTGGAATGATAAACTGACTGACATTGTCCATCTGGACTTGGATTAAACTATTAATTTAACTATGACACATCCCAATGGTCTAATTAACTCCACTTCATCATGTGCCACCGAGGTAGCGTATTACAGCGACACCTTTGCTGCCAGCACTGGGGTTTAAGCCTCTGTTTGTGGACAGCTGGCCAACATTGCCTTATAGCGCACCATTTCACACTGCAGAAGTCTTAAAATGTGTTGTTTGGTGTTATACTGTATACTGTATAATGTATGTAGTGCAGGCTCATAACTGTGGTTTCTTGTTTGGAAAGTTTAGTTTTAGTCAAACTAAAATAAAGCAGATGCCAGTGACACTTAATGTTGTTGACTTTGTGGTTGTGCAGGGCTGATGAGGCAGAGTCCCTGAGGCCCCTGGAGGGTTTATGAGTGTTAGAGTTGCGCCTGTCCAGAGATCAACAGATGTTAGCTTCCACTGATAGCTGATAATGACCTGCAGACTGAGGGGAGGCAGTCTGTGTCTCTGACTAAATAGTATGTCTCAGTAGGGAATAGTTTTGACACAGGCTGCTTTTCCTTGAAAAGGTGAGCGTGATGGAGTCTTATGTCACAGCTTCACTTTCAAAGACTCAGGGCTTTAATGACACAGGGAAAGCCTTGGTGTTTCTTACAGTAAATTTAGTCCTGACCAGCTTGTCTGTTGTAATCAGTCAGGTAAATGCACCAGACTTTTTCAGGGGTTTCATTATCGTCTTATTCACCTTTTTCAGGAGTTGCAGCTCTGATCACATCAGGCGCTGCAGCTAGCACATCACCCACACACTGAGCTACAGACCACACCACTGTGCTATGTTGAATCATCCTGTCTGACCAGCTTTGCACACTGTTCTGATAAATAACTGTGAAGTGCTCTTAGCAGCACTGCTTGCAGCAGGCGACTGACAGGGCTCAATCAATGCATCTGCCAGAAAACTGAGAAAGGCTAATGAGATTTTCCATCATTGTCTCTCTGTCATTTTACAGCACAGAAATGCTGAGCCTGTCAAATCTGCTCTGAAACATTCTGCCTGTCACTGCTTGTGATTCTTATTTTTGTCAGCTTATTTGTTGAAATATTTCTATTATTAAATACGTCTGTATTGGACCTCAACAGGCAGGTTTAGCGGATGTGTTTCTCCAGAGCAACATGCCACGAACACCAAGATAGGAGTTCTGTCTTGCTTAAAGGAAAGGGAAAAATGCTTATACGCTTTTCTTTCCAAGGGTTAGCTCACTACTACTCTTTTGTCTGTATGTTAAAGGGTAACTTTGGTATTTTTCAAGCTGGACACTATTTTCCCATGTTTTTGTGTTTGTGTGACAAAATTTATGAAAGTGGTCCAGTATTGAGCGTGCTGCAGTCAACAGCTACAAGACAGGGCTGCAATGTAATCCTTGTGGGCAGTTGCACCCCGTCAAAGTGCATCCACTAAGGTGCTTGTTTTTTCTACTGACATGCTCAGATTGTTTTGTCTGACAACATTGTGGAAAGGATCCCTACAGAGATAGGCATTTTTTAAAAGAGTAAGATCTTTTTTATTTAACCAGAAACGCTATATTGCTCTTGACAAAGCCACCAGACTCCTTTGATAAAAACAGTAATTGTCCCAATGAGTTACATTCGCACAAAAACATTGGAAAATAAGGTCCAGGTTGAAAAACACCAAAGTTACCCGTTGCTAAGCACAAAGACAGGAAACAGAAGGAAACAGCTAGCCAGGCTCTGTCCAAAGGTATATAAGACCTGCCTATTGGCACCTATAAAGCTCACTAATCACCAGTCAAAAACCAAAGCGTAAAAGTTTAATTCCCCTTTTTAGTTCTGTGTCAGACTATTTCTTAGCTGTGACCAATAACTTATTTGAGTCTCCACAGGTTGTCTGGTAGCTGCTCAGAGCCAAGAAATTACTTCGGCACATAATGTGTGTTAATTTGTGAGTTTTAGATGTGCTCGTATGTGTTTCCCCCTGTTTCTAGTCTTTATGCTAAGCTTAGCTAGGTGGCTGATGGCAGTAGTTTCATATTTACAGCACAGATAAGAAAGTAGATGTGTGTATTTCCCAAAATGCCTAACTGTAGTTCTTTTGAGGGTTTAGAAACTGAGTTTTAGTAAATGGTCTGTACTTGTATAGTGCCTTTCTAATCTTCTGACCATTTAAAGCGCTTTTACACTATGTCACATTCATCCATTCGCACACATCCATACACTGATGGCAGAGGTTAAGGTGCCAACTGCTCATCACAAACAGAAATTAACATTCACACACACTCACACACCAATGGCACAGCCACCGGGAGCAATTTGGGGTTCAGTATCTTGCCAAAGGACACTCCAACATGCAGACTGAAGGAGCTGGGGGATCAAACAGATGATTTTCCGATTAGTGGGCACCCCGTTCCACCTCCTGAGCCACAGGCGCCCATTTTCCATCATGACCAGTTTTACGTTTTTCACCTTGGAGTTTATTAGAGTTTCTAACATGCTGTTTTATAACGTATGTTCACATTACTCCCTTGTCATACCAAATCATTAACAAATGTATTAGATGCACTGGAGAAAATCACATTCAGAGTAACAACAAAACCTCAGTAACTGAATCGTGTTTAAAGAGCTTGCATGGAGCTCTGATAGTGCACCTTATGGTACGGCTAAATTTGACTCCACAGCACACAACCCTAATCAGTTGCATCAAAACAATCATTAACTAACCTCCCGCTGCCTCCCTCCACTTTCACAGCCTCCTTCTCCTCACACGACAGAGGGCAAGACTCTAGACAACACCTCAGAGACTCCTCGCTCTAACCTCCCACACCCCATGTCCCATCTTCCCCTTCATAGAGCTCCATGATATAAACAAGACCTCACACACAGCACAAAGAAGAGGCTGAATCAGTGTAGTACACACACACACACACACACACACACTGAAAAAAACATGTTCAACACAATGTTTAGAACATTATGTCGTCAACAAAGTTCAGATGTACTGTGTTTTACTTTCAGCCTGTAAAAATGCATTAAATTAATGAATTTAGCTCTGGCTTTAGGGTATTACTGCCACAATAATTCTAGATGCCAGAACATGTTGTGCATTACTCCTCTGTACGGCTACTCTGTTAATTGTACAGTATGTCCTACATGTTGCACAGCACATACCCATAAAACTGCAGGCAAACTCTTTTTTGGGGGGATTTTATCCAGCTTTTATGTTTCAGTTGATAGTAGCCGACTGGAAAACTGCTGTCCAATCAGAGCACACATGGCTCTAGGTTGAGGGTTTTTTTCTATTTAATAATTTTTAATTACCTCTAATGGGTAACACTGGCAAAGAGTTGAAATTATTGCTTGAATTAATAGTCACAATTATGCTGTTAATGAAATTTCCTTTATATACAGTATATTACGATCTGCTTTATAAGCCTTACAGCAGAGAAAACATGATCAGCCATGAAACAAATTAAATCATATTAAACACCTTTGCAATTACTTTTTTTCCTCTAGTCCAACCTAAAAAGAATCTCATCAAATCATTGTGGTACATTAATGTCTCGTTGTCACATGTCCAGGTTATCTAAAGTAAACATAAAACTATAAACAACGGGCTTTCGTCAGCGACACACCAGTCTCCTCTGTATTTATACTGGCTCTTTAATGGTGAAAAGGTGATAAAGCTAAGCCAGTGGCCGTAATATGAGTGGTGTCCTCCCATAGGTTGGGAGGTTACAAACACACCATTGATAGGCTGCCTCTGAATGGTGTTAAGAAGAAGCCATCTGCTCCTGTTTATGGTTCATTAACCCCGCTACCCCTGGATAACCAGACTGCCCCTACAGCAACAGGTACAAGAGGCCGGGGCTTCTTGTTGAGATAATACTTAGAGAAATATATCACTGGCCAAGCATTGTTTCTGCTTCAACATGCTCCTTAATTCAATAATTTTCCACTAAACAACAATAACTGGAAAATCCTTACCTTCCCAGAAGCCCATAACCATACTGTGAATCTGCCAGCAGTAATGTGATCTCGCCCTTCTGCATGGATATGACACACTCCTCCAGGGCCTACATGTGTCAAAAAACAATGCGTTATTTAGAGGACTGAACATAAGTACACAAAATAAGCATAACATTATGTTGTGCATTTCCTTAAGTGACTACAACATCTGATGAGGAATTTCGAGTTTCAGACATGTGGCCCAGCTTTTTATCCATACTGGGTCTAGGGATATCGGCCAGTTGGTTCAGACTGCAACATATTAACAACTACTGGACAGATTGCCATAAAATTTGGTACACATATTTGTGGTTCCCACAGGATTAATGACAAGGATTTTGGTGATCCCCTGACTTTTCCTTTAACGCCAACATGAGGTTGTTGGTCAAGGTTGAAATGTCAAAGTTGACATTTCTGATTTTGATTGAAAAGTCTCAATAACTATTGGATGGATTGAAACTTTGCGCACACATTCATGTTCCAATAGTATGGTTCCTGATACACAAAACTAAAGCTGCATTTTGTTTTGTGCTAATTAGCAGATGTTAGTATGATAACACGCTAAACTAAGATAGCCAACATGGTAAACATTATACCTGCTTTACATCAGCATGTTAGCATTGCCATTGTGATGTTAGCATTTAGCTCAATGCACCTTTGTACCTAGGAACAGCCTTACAGAGCTGCAAACATGGCTGTAGACTCTTGTTTCCCTTTCACAGTCTCTTTTGGGCACTAATGAAGTTTGATGTAATATATATACGTGCTCTACACTGGAGAAAACTACCCTGTTCAAGAAAAGGGTTAGGTTTAGGGTTAAAAGCTTTTACCTGGTTTACATCTCCCTCTCCAATAACAAAGACTAGCTTGCAGTCCTTCTCCACCACAGTGCGGTCCTCAAGGACACACTGCATCTTGACAGTAACCTCCTGGCCCCAGGTGGGGCGCAGGCTGTGTGGAGCCGTGGACTCCAACACCTTCTTCCTCAACAGCCGGTCCTCTGCATGAGCAAAGAAGTGAAGGTCATGCAGGAGGAAGCCAGCTTAATCTTCTAGTTATTGGTAAACACATGCTCAGAAACAGCCACAAACACACCAAACTTGATCAGTAGTTACTGGTAAATTAGTGAGATTTCCAACTAGGTCTTAAAGTGTTTCTCTACATGTGTATCCTCACCTGTGATGTCCTGCCAATCTTCTGCTGAGAACAGCTCCTCAAAGGTCGAGGAAGTCCACTCCTTCGTCACATATTCTGGAAAGAGACTCTCTGCTGAGCTGTCCCTCTCCAACACATCATCATCTGTTGATGGGTCTTGGAATCGTACCATCTTCCAGCTGTTTGTTTTTTTCAGTTTCCTCCGCTCCTTGCATTCCGTGTTTCCACTTTCTCGCTCAGGATCAGTGGGGATTTTTATCTCAGTGCTTTTACCCTCTCCTGCAGAGCTCTCTGTTTCAGCCCGCTCTCTCCCGCACAGCTGCTTGCCTTCCTCTGCAGGCCCACAGGCCAGTTCGGTGTGACTGTCCCTGTCAGGCTCTGTAGGCTCTACTGCAGCGTCTTTATGCTCTTCACAGCGTGGTTCTGTCTCCATATCACTACAGAGAGCGATGGACACCATCTGCATCAGTCTCCAAAAGAGATGATCCTCTTTGTCCAGCTAATGTTCCACTTAGGCGCAGGTTAGTACTTCTGTTCTGAACTTCTACACTTTGTCAAAACCAAAAGAATATTTCCATGATGTACAAAAATACATGTTGCGTTTCATTAAATCCAACTCAGAGTGCCTCCCTAATTCCTGGCTTCATCTACAGTTCTTAAAAAAAAGAAGCTTTTTCGTGCCTGCAGATATGTAATTTCTGCAGTTCACTTTGACCTCCTCTCTCACTGACTTTTGTCCTCCTTAAGTCTACGTAGTCCAGTGATGTGGCAGCAATAAAAAATGATCAATGTAAAGAAACTGCGCAGCGCAATGAAGCACTCCCAGCCAGCAGGCTTGTGCAGTGGTAATCTGAAGGATTAGAAGAGAAAAACCTAATCTGCCAGAACGTCTGTAAGCTTCTTAATGACTTCACCGTCGTGCCCCATAACACAGTTTCCATGAACGCAATCTACCAATAAGATCTCGGGAGATACAAGCGTAACTTAATTTGCTTTGAGTTACGTTAGGAGATTTTTATTTTCACTTTTTAAGAAGTGTTACAGCGCTCATAGCAGAGCAGTGATAACTTGCAGGCTGTAAAAATGACACTAGATTACAGATTAAATCCAATGTTTTTATGGGTGTAAACCTGCTGGAGGATACACATTTCACATGATGTGTATAATTCATTTGGGTATGTTCACGTTTATTCCTAACATTGCAATTGTTTAACCCATGAAAGTAATTGAATAAAGTTTGCTTTTGTCAGGTTCATTGAGAAAATAAATGTTACATTCTGAGCCTTAAATTACAGATACATGCTGAACTGTAAGTATTTAACTAGGAAGAGTCTGTTCTTTCCATGGGTGCATTTTAAATACGGCACCCCGTCGACCACTTAGTTCAGCAGACAACGATTACACAAATATATATGGTACATTAGGATACATAGATTTGTTCTCAAAACTGAATAATTGATTAATTGAGAAACTAATTATTAATCTATTATGAAAATAATGGTGAGTTGCATAATAATATAACATTCTGAAAGGGTCCAATCTACTGAATAAGTACAGAGTTCATTTAGCTGATAATACCTTTGCAATTTTACTAGAGTAAAATTTGGAATGCAAAACTTTTATGTGTAATGGAGGATTTTATATGGCTGTATTTGTACTTTCAATTATCTAAATACTTCCACCACCACCACAGACTATTTATTCATAAATAAATAAAGGTTTTCTCATAGGTTTGACGTGTGATGACAATTTCTATACAAAGTTCCTCTGCACTGCACAAATAAATATGAATGTCATTTCCAAAATGCCATAAATATTTCAATCATATATTAGTCTGCAGGTGTGTGTGTGTGTGTGTATGTGTGTGTACTGCATTAACACATAGGGTGCATTAACCAAATTCTTGTGAGGAGCATCTTGGAGGAATGCAACTCAGAGGAAAAATACATCACAGATACACTACAGGCTGGAGGCTGCGAGGGCACAACTGGCCAACGAGAGTGACCTGGAAAGCGAAAGTAAAATAGTTTCTATACTTCGTGCTTCTTCGGTCTGTGTGTGTGTGTATGTGTTTTGTGTGTTAGCCCCGCCCACCATCTATCTCCTCCGTGACGTTTCAGGCAGAATGTCGCCAGTAGTGTTCAGTTGTAGAAATGGCAGCGCTGAGACAGGAGCATCGGTATGGGCTCTCCTGTGGCAAAATCAACAAAAACACCCCGAATAAAACTCTGTATCACGTCAAACTCACCGACACTGCCATCCGGACCCTCGAAGCCTACCAGAACCTGAAGGTAAGACCAAATTATCGGGTTGAACTTTGGAGCTTGTGTGTGCGTGTGTGTGTGTGTGTGTGTGTGTGTGTTTTTCCCAGCTGAATTTTCATTTTGTTAATCGCTTCCCAACTCAGGGAACTGTAAAATCCCCATTGGAGACGCAGCTTCTTCTCCCTTTTGGTAGGAAAGTAAAGTTTACATTGTCCAACAGCTCGTGCGCTGCTCAAATCTCATCGACAAAAGCTGATAAATGTTGTATGTATCGGTTTACTCTGGCAGTGATACAGTAGAAGGCAGGCAAAGCTTGATTTATTGTGATCATAACAGGCAATTCAGTAGACTTTGATGAATGAGGGGATTTCATTAAATTCTCCTCTAAACCCTGAGTGAAATTTGTTCTGAGCAGGGTCAGGGTATTTTTCTTTTAATTCTGCATGTCTGCTTGTTTACCCATGCGTAATCTCCCGAAAAAACAAAATGTATTACACTTCCCATATGACAGAGGTTTGTGATTATGCCCTGAGCTTTAAAAGCCTGCTGTTTTCTCTGTTTGTCTATACATAGGCCTACATTACATCTGAAATTCATGATTTAGATCACGGGCGAACACAGATGACAGTCATTAAATGTTTTTTTAAAGGGCTGTTTTTCTCTGCTTATTTCGCTCTGGGGAATAAATTAATGAACAAGCTATCAGGCAAATTATTCAACTCCTCCGAATCAGGATACTGTTTTATTGCTTTTATGGTCCATTAGATTAGATCGAGATAATTTAGTCTATCCAAATGGTCTTTCCCACAGCACCACTTGATAAGAGACAGTTAGTCCCACAGTTATGACTACAGTTGGAGGCTCATTTAGTTGGAGTGTTTTCCCTCTGGATGTGGGAATCGGTGGTTCAGCAGTAGGCTATAGTCCGCATAGGGCTCGGTGGCAGTGCTCGTCAAGTTGTTGCTTGGCTCTTGTGTATTAATGTCTTTTGCGTTTTTTTTCTCGCCTGGAAGCCCGCCCAGCTCCGGAGCTCATTGGTCTGTGAAGTAAAGTCCAGAGCTCACACAGCTTGACAGCTTCCTCAAGGCCAAAACGGGCAGGCAGGAGAGGTGACTGCAAAAGTTTTCCAAGTCCAATACCATTTTAGACGGCTGGACTGACCACAGTGTGTGTGTGTGTGTGTGTGTGTGTGTGTGTGTGTGTGTGTGTGTGTGTGTGTGTGTGTGTGTGTGTAGGCAAGTAGGCTAATTGTCTATAAAATTTGATCACAATTACAAGAAGTCCAAAGATATTCATTTAACAATCATGGAAGATAGAATCATAGACTTAGACTAGACTTGACTTAAACAATGAATCCATTATTTAAATAGTTGCAGAGTTACTTTCTGTTGATTGACAAATCATTTCACAATGTCCCAGAGCCAAAGTTGTTCCATTCAGACTTCTTGTTTTGTCCAACCGACAACGTTCAGTGTACTCTTACAGCAGGTTTAGAAAAACAACCAGCATTCACATTTGAGAAGTCGGAACCAGTGAATTTGTGGCACTTTTGCTTAATAAATGACTTTAATGATTAATCAGTTATCGAAAAGTCACAGATTTTTTGTTGATCCACTAACTCATTAGTATTTACCACTTTCTAATTAGGCATCCTTTGTATGAAGTAAATTGTAAATAATGGCTTCAATAAACCATTTACTAATGCCATATAGATCCGTTATAAGCCATTAACAACTACTTTCGGTTGTAAAAACAGGCTGGCTGGTGTTCATCATTTCTGTTTTATAATAATGCAGTTCTAAATGTTGGCAATCGATAATTTACACACTCATGTGTTTCTCACTCTCTAATAAACTATCATGTCTGCAGTTATAAATAAGTTGTTGATAAATGGTCCAAATGCTCCAGCTGAGGAGGATAAATACCAAGCGTTTGTAATATGTAACAAACATTCTGCACTTTAATATTCATTATTCCATTCATTATTAAAAGTTAACTTATGATGAAGAAAATCACAACAATACTCCTCAATAGGGAAGACATTTCCCAAAACTATTAATAATAAATTAAGAGTGCTGTCAATCACGGGCACAGCTGTACGTCACAGATAATAGTCTCCCATCTATTAATCATGTATCATGTTGCCTCAAAGGCAGAAATTTTTTATGATTTTAATATTGCTTAATCAGAAGGGAAGGAGGGTGAGAAACAATATGATGATTGGGAGCTTAAGCCAGGTACACTGTGGTCTTGGAGAGCAGTACAGTAACAAAAACAAGCTTATAAAAAGTACCTTTTTAAAGAAAGATAATTGGAGCTTTGTCTTTCCTCTGAGATCTTTATTCATTTAATCATTTAGAGGGGAAATCAGCCAAAACACACACACAAGCACACACACACACACACACAAAGATGCTCAGCAAACTGATTGACATGAGCAAAGTTTTCTGTAGATCGATTAATCACACACATTCCTCTGAAGGAATGTGAAAAATGGCAGTCATTCATCAGGGATATTGCAATTATGGCAACATTTTGGCATCTAAAGAGGAAAGTTCACCAAACCATGTCTCATCAAGCCAGACAGCTGTTATCTAGAGAAACCCACTGAGCAGAGCTGGAACAATGGCTATTTATTTTCACTCATATTGTATGAGCTATCCGTTAGATTAAACATGATCCCTGAATCACTGACCAGATTCTTCTTTTTCTCTTTATCCTCAGGCATCACTATCAAATCAGCCAGCGATTTGCTTCAAGGAGAGCCAGGGGGTAAGATGTTTTGCATACTCTCCCTAATGCTTCAGAAATTGAATGCTCTAATTAGTTCTGATTCGCTGTGGAGCACACTTGTGACAGTTCCTCTGCACATCTTATTTGATTCTTAAGCATTCAATGAGTGCTTACATGCATCCAAGAGGTCGGCCTTGTGACGTTCCAAACATTGGGATGATTTTAGTGTCATTTTATTTGGTGGGTTTTGTTGCGCAGGACTGTTTTATTTCTTAGAAAATCGAAACTGAAAGAGCCAGTGATCAACACGGAGAAGATGGCTGCTTTGAAATGCACCAGAGCCCAAAGTCTGAGGGAAAGGTGTCATTCATTTGCTCAGTTATACATATATTGTGTCAAATATCCTTGACTGTGTGTGTATATACAGTGACAAGGTATTCTTGGCACTGAAAGCAAGAGGGCATTCCTGTCTGTAAAGAAAGATGCCTGTGTCTGGCCAGATTAGCCGGGGCACTATTACACCCTCCATGACTCTGCCTGCTAGGCTACTACACATTTACCACACACTCAGCCCTGTCTAAAATGAGCTGTTCTAATCCCTGCATGAGCCGATTGCATTGACGAAAGTGACTTTGCTCTGTACACAAATGCCGGCCGTGTGTGCTCACATGGGCCCTGGGAGCCCTAAAACAGCGTACGCTATACCCCCAGCCTGCTAGCCAGGTTACTGGGTCAGGATTGCTACTGGGGAGGCTTTGTTAAGGGAGGGGGAGGAGGTAATAGAGGAGATGGCGAACCCCAGGGAGCACTCATGTCTCCATGCCTGTTGTCTCTGTGCAGACATGAAAGATTTGAAATGCAGGAATGATACAGGAGCGGTGGAATTTTTTAATCCAGGCAGCACGCAAAACACGTCAAAAGCATATATGTGTAAACACGTAATGAAACATCTGTAAAACGAGCAGCAGATTAACCTGCTTAAAAGAGTCTTTCTGTGAAGCAATGTTAAGTGAGTGCAATTTAAGTGTTCTTTAATCACTGAATAGGATTTGGTGATTATATCTCGGTTGGCACATTACATATTCAAATTGCTTTGCGGAATTCAAGCTCGGGCTCCCTCCCCCTCTGACAATAGTCCCCGAGCTGGACGATTGGGCATTAATGAGGTAGCTCCAACCATTGGTGGTGGGGGAGGCCAGATTAAGCCGTTAGTGGGGGGAGGATGTTGGTGAACATGGCAGTCTGGCATATAACAGACCGAGAAGATAACCAGTAGACCTATCTGTGTCTCCAGGTTGGAGGCTTACAGCATCACAAATCTAGGTATTTCCCCTGGCTTTTATTTGCTGGGTAAGTGTTTGCTGGAGCTCATCCCTTCCCCAAAAGCAGCATGAGGTTCATGAGGTCATGTTTACAAACGAGGAGGTTTGCATCCACTGACAGTTGCCAGCTATACAGCTCGATCTCAGAAGCCATGACTGCTTCTTTCTGATCTTTGTCCACGCCGGCTCATGTCGCATTTACTGTAAAGAGGCACTTCCAGGGAATTCTTCAAAATCACTGTCCTGGCATCACACCAGGGCTCAGCGGTATCAGGGGACAAGGCTCCTATCTAGAAATAGCACACTGAGGTTTTCAGCTTTTCGCCCTCCTATTGTAAATTGTCTGCCAAGCTTGTAATCATGCGATGAAACAAAAAAGCTTGTAGATGCGTCTGAATCCTGTGTTAAAGGCAACTGTGAAACTTCCAGATGACAATAAGAAATTCAGCTTTGCAATCTAGATATATTTGCGATATATATATATATATATATATATATACTTTCACTCGTCTAAATAGGGTATAAAGAGTCTTGGCTGATATTGGAGGACAGTGAAGTCAAAGGGTTCGATCAATAACTAGCGTCTGGAGCAGTGACATGAAATTTTAAAATAAAAAAAGGGGAGACTGTGATGCAACCATAAAGAAATAAGGGAAGTGGAAAGATACTGTTTTTCACATTTCTTTAAAGATGGAAGTTGAAAAGAAATTAGATTCTGGATTACTTTGAAATAATCACCAGGGATTAAGGAATATATTCAGAGCTGATCTGGGTTCCCATGGCCTGGAATTTCACATCCTAGTGCTTTTTTCCCTTCCGGGCTG